GTCACTCAATTATTCGTCCATTCATTTATCTATTCATTCATTGTCCATCTGTTTATCCCTTCAATGACCCATTCTTTCGTTTAACTAGCCTTAATCTTTGTTTGTTTCAGTAAAATACCTCTGCCACAGCCTTTTGCAGCCAAGTTGACTCTTCCCCAAGTGTAGGTGTAGGTGTGGTGAAAATACCATCTTTTTCGATCTTTTTCTGTTTTTCCGTTGCTTCTATTGTCGACTTCTCAATGAATGAAGTAGTCGTGGGGACATACAGTGATCTGTTTGCAGCTGCAGCATCTTCGTCCTTCCTTTGACTTGTTAATGCTGTTGATCTTGCTCTTGCAGCATCAAGTGCAGCGGTGGCTTTACTTTTACCTAATACAATTGTGATTCATCATTACCAATGAGAAAATTGTTCAGATGGCTGACATCTAGAGTCACTATTTTCATTTCCTCAGACAGAAACTAGCTGCGCATGTACTCTTACTGTATCTGCTAAAAATAGCTAGTTATGTATTACGACAATAGACAATAAGTACTCCTCATTTCTTAGAGATGATAGGATAATATCATAAATACCTGTTGGACTAAAATTCCAAGACCAGCATGCMAGAACCCCATCCCCACCGGTACTGAGTAGTTTTTGTGAATCACCAGTAAAACACACGTGTGTGACTCCACCCTTTCGATAATGATGTGCGGGAATCTTGATGGTACGATCCTATGGCAATAATAATAAGATGATTGGATCATCCGACCTTCGCTTCACTCTTGCAACAACGTCGTATGGTAGAGGAAACCGAGTCGCTAAAAACGTGAGCAACAGAGGCTTATGACCTCTACTTTAAAAGTTTAATAATCATATTGATCGGTGATCACTGAAATCAGAACATGGAAACTCGACTGCAGCCACCCCTACAATTATTTGATACCAATAATAAATATAACTTCACATTTGCGCAAATTAAAATCAAGCAATATTTACTCGATAGCTATTGTCATAAATTCTAGTCAACCACATACCAATGCTCCGACTGCTCGAAGTAATATTTGTCCATCAGTACCCGCGCTTGCCATCCACCGAAGATGTGGAGAGAGAGTCAGATTACCTCCAAGAAGATCATGTCCAATGTACGCTTCTRATGACTTCAGTAACTGGCTTTCATTATTGGGTTCCTAACMAAAATGTAAASCAACATTTAATTTTTTAATAATTTCTCGCATTAAACGTTTTTTAAACCCCTAATTTCGAGTAAAAAGGAATTCTACCACTCATTAGTGCAAAACAGGTATTGTAGAATAACCATTCCATAATTACCAGGGCTTCCTGTGTTAGTGGTAGTTTGATTAACTCCTTACGGTGGCGACCTATAGCCAATGCAGTCTGTTGTGATGTTACCATGACGCTATAAATAGGYGTGGCTAGTTTATGGGATGATAACTTGATAGCTTCATTACGGTACAGCAAAGCTTTATTGACAAAGGCATCTCTTGGATCTAAAATATAATCAGAGATGGATTACTATAACTGGTTGAGGATATAATCCTTCATAATCATTATTTACAGTATAGCAGGAGTCTTTATAAGTTGATTAAGCAACACTTACTGCGATAAAGAATTTCTTTTGTAACTTCAAACTCCACCATCTTACTAGCATGAGAAGAATTGTTTTCATCATAAGCAACAACTACCTTCCATGGCCCTTGGGAATTGTTATCTTGTGCATTAAGGCAACTTATTGATGTAACACTACCTTGGACATCTGTGCAACATAATATTGAATTAAAAGAAAACCTTGATGACTTTTATAATGCAAAAAATGCTCTTGGGAAATTTGAGGATGGGGAGTGATTTTTGAGTTTTTGAGAGCGAAAATGGAAAGCTTACCGATATGTCCCAGAACTTTAAAGTTATTTGTAACCCTTGCATCACATACAAAGACATGGCCATCATTAGATCCTGTCAGGTAAATTTGACCAAGCAGATCATAGCTAAATACAAGAGCAACACTCATTATTACAAAACTACTATATACAATGTGTATACTATAGAGGTTAGGTAGGTATTTCAATTACTTTACATCTAGGGCATCAGTTGCTTAGTCACTGCCTAACCCTTTTTTCAGGCTTCCTGTCACTCCCAGGAGACCCGACAGACGGGTAGGCTGTGAAGGAGACTACATTTGCTATGTACTTAATACCAACAAAATATCATATTCAACTTATAAATGCATGTCTCACCATATCTGCTGTACTGGTCCTTCATGAACGTGCACACATGCTATAGGCCGTGGCTTGTTGACAACTGTCATCTCAACAAAGTAAACATATCCATTTGCTGTTCCTATGGCAACAGTACTTGATGATGGACAACATGCCATGCAAGTGGTCTATGATGAAGAAAATGATGAGTATCAAATATGGAGGCTGACAACTAAACATATGGATGTCAGTGTATATTTTTAAATATAAATGGTAATGTTGGTCTTACATGACAATCAAGGTGGAGTTGGCTAATCAGTGTAGAATTCTGGATATCCCAAACTTGCAAATGACCATTGGATCTGCATGTCTGTGTATTCAAAAAAAGTCACATCCGTTTTCATGGTGTTACAGTAGACATTGTGATGCATCATGAAAGCCTTACCACACAATAATCTGTTCCACCAAGCAAAGAGTCAACGCCAATTAACTCTACATTATTTACATCAAAAAACTGTGTCAGCTTGTTTCCTTCAGGCTGGTATAGTTGCATACTTCCCTGAAAATTTTAAAATAATGTGAATAAAATACACAAGCGKAGCAAAAGCAGACAATCAAGGTAATTGCAAATCCTTAGTAACATTCATTATGAAATCTCAATATGGGTAGTATTACCTTTGTACTACCAATTGCCAGTTCAGAGTAAGATTTTGACCATGCAAGACTGGTAATGGGTGCTCCTATATCAGTGGTACTAAGTATATTAACAACTTTTCCATTAATGTCCAGACATCTCAATATACCATCCTGGTACAGATAATGATTATTAGGATTTTAATAGTTTGACAAATAAAGCATAACTATTGTTATGATAATGCATACCTGTCCACCTATATAAAGACCATTTTTATGCAAGGCAAGGCAGTTTGTGCATCCATATGTAAATTGAGGGATGGAAATCATCTCGTTGTCTTCTCCTGTATCAATGATAACATCAATCACCACATAACCTACAACTCTTCTCTTCCTTTCTACAACCGGTAAACTAATTTTTAAGACCACAATATAACATAGAAACTACAGTCCTCATGGCTGTCAATTAAAGCTAAGAAAATATAGCAGTACATGCAACCAGTTATTGGGATACACAAGTCAATTACCTTCTTGCTCTTCTTCTAGAACCTCCATAGTGTTTTTTCTCACTAAATGGGAAATAGTGTCTGTTCTATTTCGGTTTTGTTGTTCATGACTTGGTGTTGCTACTACTTTAACCACACTTGAGTCAACATCAACTCTAAGAAGCTGGCCACCAGTACATCCACAATAAATAATGCCATGAGGAGTCCAACAATTACTCACAGGCTCACATCTCTGAATCTTCTCTCCTGATAATGACAAACATGTAATATGGTAATGTACGTCATTGCTGAACTAACCGCTATTGACGAGGATGGACGTGGGTTTCACGTTTCTTCTATATTATTTTTAGCAATACAGTACTTAATTATCATCATAGACATCTCCTTTAGAAAAGCTATAGTATAAAAGCCCTGTAAAACCAAGCTTACCTGGCTCATAGTCAAGAGATTCTTTACCAACAATTCCACCAATAGCAGCCTTAGTAAGTCTGAACTCTTCTGTAGTAAATGCTCTTCCCATTCTACTGATTGATTGGCTTAAATCTTCATACTCTCCATCATCTGGYGTTCCTGATGCTGGTGGAAGCTTGAAAACACTAACAAATSAAGACAAATTGACATCAGATTGTAAGCAAATTTTATAAACAATAAAATACTTTTAGACACACAATTGTTAATCCCTTTGGYTAATACWACAATTTAYRTGAATAAGGGKAAATATCTATGCTTACCTTGGTGTAAGGATATGTTTGTCATCGAGTTGTTCTACATTCCAAACTGTCAGCATTTGTTTACCAATTGTACATAACTGTCTCCAGTTCATGGGATTGAATGATAACTTACTGCAGGCTTGATGATTTATATTAATAAAACACAACTTTGCCTCATTCACCCAGTTCCTTGAAGAGAATACTAGATTTAATATTCATAATCTGGAGGTAAATAGCACTCTCAACAAGGAGGACTGGAGCTTGTGCTTGATTATACAAACATGAACATGGTTTACTGCAAGACAATTCAACTGTAGAACGTAGTTTTCTTACCATATGGTTAACTGAAAGTCTGGTAATCCAGAAATACTGGCAAGAATTGAACTATTATTTGCAAATGCCAATGATGTGTATGAAAGTTTTGCACCATCTAAAAAATAAATCATTTAAGGTTTAAATTCAATCATAATTGTACATAAAAACAAACCATTTCAGAATTTCCAAATTCTAATTATTATTTCCCCCCCCAACCACAAATGCCCTGTTATGTCGCAGGTGTACAATGTACTAATCATAATCTTTTTGTTAATCACATTTAGACCAACCTTTAAGAATTGCTTGAGGTCCACTAAAGTTTGGAAATTTGTAAACAAAAATTTGTGGACTTGGTCTCATCTCTGAGAAGCCATACACTCCATGAGTTGAGTTTGTAGCCAGTCTTCCAATGCCATCCCCTGGACTAAGTAAAAAGGCTTCACTTTTGTCTTTTATGTTGATAAATTTTACAATATTTCCACATATGTAGCAGATAGTTTCTTTATTGACAAAACTTGCAGCTCCACCATCATAGCCTTGAGCCCAACTATGAAATATAATATGAAGTAATCGTATACCGCCTGAACTTAAATCAAGCTTTTACATTTCATTTTACGATAGTTGAAGTCTTGCAAATAAGCTTATAAAAATTCGGTTTAAAACGGCATGAAACAAACACAGTATGCCACTAAACGTAAAAAATGCTAACCTGAGCTCTAAGYTACCAAACTGGTCCATTTAATACTGGTTTTAGAGTAAATTCGTGGATAAACTTCGTTTCTTKTCCACCATTACTATATTTTCGTTTCTTGTCTTGTTGCTATGGCGGTTGATAACCGCTGTTGCATATCGCAGGCGCTTTTACTCAACCTCTCTCATATGTGAGTACACAGGATACCCAAAATAAGAAAAAAGCAACTTTTCAAATATTTCTTTAGTTGTTTCTTTTTTTCAGCATACAAACAACAAACAATTCTCGGAAATAATAACGACGAAAAGGAAGGAGCATAAAAAGCTAATGGCCAAAGGTAATCCCATGTAGGGTTAGGTTATGTGGTTAGTCCACGGGACAGATTTTGCGGAAAGGGGCGGGACCCGGATCATATTCCAAGTCTCACTGTGTTTACATATGAACTCACGTTAGATCAAATGTGAAAGAGTTTGATGTACGTTTATCTGTTAAACTTTTATCCAGGGAACTTACATTTGAACCTTAATCCGCTGTAACTAAGTAGAGATTATCTAGAGAATACTTAGACTACATACCAATGGAGGGAGAAGAGGAATTGTTGAAGGATGCCAGAAGACTACTAGCTGTTAATGCTGGAGAACAAAAACGTTTGGAAAAGCTCCAAAGACATATCGACAAAAAGAGGAAAGAGAAGGAGAGAATGCTGACAAGAGCYCAGGAAGATGCTGTAGTTAAGTTTTATGAGACTTCTGGGAAGGGATTAAATGAATTCTTGTTCATAGAGAAGAGCTTCAAGGGYCAAGGAAATCGCATGATGAAAGCTGTCACTACAAGTGATCTTGTTCAAGGTCACGAAATCATCTCTAATGAAAATACAACAGTAAAAGAAGCTAAAGAGAAACGAAAACAAAATCAACAGAAGTTATCTCTTCAAGAAAAAAGCTCAAAAAGCTTTTTGCCAGAGTTGGAGTTGGCAGTTTTTGGTCTCAAAGCATATCCATTTCAACGAGGCAGAAGTAGGAGCTGGGCTAGTCTGAGTGAAAGTGGTCGACTTGAAAATAGAAACGGCAACAAAGAAGGAAATGATGTGCTCGAAAATAAAGATGAGTCCTGCGAGGAATTCTCTTCTCTTAACACAGGAACTGTTGTTATCACAGAAGAACAACACGAAAAGCCATTATCTGCCATCCTTCCTCCTTTGGTATTGCCACCTTTGTACAGACATAGAAGACCAAGTCTACAAGAACACACGAAAAACTATTATAGAGCAGAGAAGAATTTTAGTATTGGCARTACAAAGAGTTTAAAAGAACATTACAAAGATTTGTCAGACTGCCGATATTTACGAATATATCAACCAAAAAAGAGAGTCTGAATTTTAGGAATCAGGGTAAGCGATTTAAGTCTTATTAAGCTTTCATATTTCATCGTTAAAATTCTTTTATGGCAAGGCCTTTTGTATATTTTCGGTATTGTTACTATTGAGCCATAACTTGAAAGTTTCACCATTTTCATCAGAATTAGAATTTTTAATACAGTTGAAAAAAAATAAATAAAATTATTTTTAAACGTATTGAAGGCACAGCTTCAACAGAATTTGAATTCCCCCTCCCTCTGATCACCGTAGGTGACGAGAAAATACGTCTAAACGTTTCTGTGTGATGGAAATCTTTATTTCAACATTAAACGTGATAATCTACACTACTACAAGTTTGATTGATGCAAATATCTGTCTTTAACAAAAATAGCATTTTTTTACAGCGTTTTTATGTAACAAAAAGTACGTTCTAACTGATTCAGTCTAGGCTAAAAATTTATATCATCTGTGACTATTATTAATTTGATTATCATAGTCCTTTTTGTCTGTCTGCACTTAATCTTTGTTTTCGTCGCTATGTACACAGTTATATTGAATAAACGGCATCTCACTATCCAAGTGCCATCACGTCTTTACTTGCAGCAGTAATTATATACAAAATCTTCCAAAATATCAACTAAATATAATAAATTCATATCAAAACAAAATCATCTAAAAATCATACAAAATCTGCTGATAAAGGACGTGAAAGAGCATTTTATATAGTATAAGTATGCACGTTTACAATATGAATTAGGCATTTCCAGTGAGTTAGAACCTGTCATCCGGGTATGCGTGACGTCACGCTATATCGATTATTAGTACTCGTCTGGGAATTTGGGTTCATTGATAAGCTTTTTCCAAAACATAAGTGCAGCAAGTCGTCCACTTTGGGGCACAAAGGTAGGAAATACAGTGAAGGGCGTTCCGAGATAGTTGTACCCAGGCCCCAGCCCATGGAATTCAAATAAATAGCCGCATGCATCGTGGACAGCGGTATGGTACATGATCATCTCGTGTTCATTGTCATCTTTTTTGTGGTTWATTGGAGAGAATCGTCTTGTTCGCATTGCTTGCTTACTGTCTAGTTTACCACCTAAAAAAATATAATACAAAACAGTAGTCAGATTGGTGTATTAGCCCCATACCATTGCAAATGCACTATTGTACATGTAATGAATATTACAAGATTTCTCTGTGGATAATCCTTATCCACTGATAATTTAATCCATCCCTCGTAAAACTTCACGCTTACAATGAGAACATTCCTTGAAATAAACTGCACTATGTATCTTTTAGTTTTGTAAGCTTGTTCAAGCTGGGATATGTTACAATAACAACGAAGAAGACTGTACCTCGGGGAAAGAGAAGTGCGCCAAAGACAGCATCTATTCCTCCAAGAGTATCACCAATAATTTCCCCACATCGTAGCTGTTGTCTTGATCCCCAGTACCTATCATCCCCGTGGAGGGAGGGTGGACCAACACTCATATCTTCCAAAAAGAATTGAAAACATTGCTGTTCACGTGACATTCGCATATTCTCATTTCGTTGAGCACGGATTAAAAGAAACCGTTTATAGTCTGTAAATAAMTTTGCTTCGTAGAAACTTGGTTTGCCTTTCATRCGAATTTTRATAATGTCTCGCAACAGTTTATCTGCGTCTGGAGACAKCTCKTTTTCATTCTTGACCAGGTTGTGAAGTTTTTGCAAAAGTTTGCCAAGGTTCTTCGTGTCGTCATTTGGAGCGATACTGCACCGTTTATCATTAAAAGAGGAATAGTAAACTTCTCGCAAATAGCTCTCCCTTTGTTCCTTTGTTAAGAAGCAGTGCATAGCTCAACGTAACTTTAAGTGTTGTATAAAATCGTTTGAAAACAGAACAATAATACAAACAAGTTAATTTGCGCAATTACTTAATTGCTGACAAAAGACCGGGACTCAACTTTTACGAATGCGCCGTTCGTTTGAAGTGCTTGTATAACCGTACGATGATTGAAGCACTACCCAAGATCCAGACACATAATGAGCAGAAMAAACGCTTCCTRCGTCTTTATGAGTTGCAAGAAGAGAAACTGGTTAACATGAACAGTTCTCTAACGTCATACGATAAAATATCTACATGTGTTTACCTTTGAGGCACAGTTCCAACTATTTTGTAACAGGTGGCCATTATATTTGCCATTTTTTAATTGGTTGAATGCACGTGAGCCGTCACTGCCCCAGTCCTGGCCACCAGTTATTACCATATCCTCATTACAAGATATATTTCAATTTTGACAGATAATAACACGTGTTTGTCCTGTGCGACCCACCAGCATTTTATCGGATTTTTGCATCCCTAACAAACTAGACTTAAACACTGTGTGGAGGATTCAAAGGGACTTTGACTAAGAGGTTACTTTTAGCTCTTGTTGCCTGAAACAGTTACATGGCATGTTTGTAGCTCATTGATTGAGGAGCCTATCCTACTAATCCTAGGACTCAGACTTGTGAAAAGTCAAAATACTTATTTGGGAAGGCGTTAAGACACTTCAGATGGGTAAAACCATACTTAATAGACTATCGTAAAACACTGTCTCAGACCGCATTTAGTTACTTTAGTTAAAATATTTTTGTGATCATTCAATATATAACATGATATAAGCTAAGGTTTTTGTTAATTGCGTTAAATAGAATGTTAATGGCGAGTGAAGATTAGATGATTCAGATGATGGAGTGAAAAAACAACGTGGTCTCTTTTTCACTCCATACGTACTCTCTTTATCTCACAACATTTCTGTAAGCGTGTTGACCGTGACATAACTGAATACTGGATAATATCGTTGGTTCGTGACAGCTAGTGACGGCACCGCGCAACCTGAAGCAACTACGACTTGGTCAGAAACTTTCCTTGTATAACAAAGACTTTTCTTCTTATGTTTTCTATGCTTTAGTTGTAATTTGAAAAGTTTTTGCTTTAGTTTTCTTGGTTTCATAGGCTCGTATCACACGGAAAGTAGCCGAAAAATCTTTACCGAGAAGTCCCTGGTTACTAGTCTATGACGTCAGAAGGTAACAGCTCGTGACTACAATAGAAACAACTAGGTAATGTTTGTTCCGAATTAAATTTTGAAATCATGGCGAATCTGCTATCCTTGGATAACAAAGTCTTTGCCTCGTATGTTTTCTATGCTGCAGTGTTAATCCTTAAGATCTTTGCTGTTGTTTTCTTGATAGTATATTATCGTCTTACAAGGAAGGTTAGTATATTTCCCATCATGACTAAGCAAATCTGCGGAGACAGTTCAAAACCCCACAATGTGATTGACTCCAWAATTTTATCCTATCCCGCGACAAAGATAAAAGGTTACTTACGGATTTCAGTATTTATAGATCATTTTTGATCTCAAATATTTGGAAGACTTTATATTTTCACGAGTGACTGCACAGACAGGGCATCGTAGGATCCTGAGTGGTGGAGTATAGGAAAGAAGCAAGACTCACTCATGAAAAGTTTCCGGCTATCCGTGGTGTTTGCATATCTCAGTGAAATGCAGCTAAAAAAGGCATTTCGTCTTCGGTAGAGGACTGACACAAGATTATATACATATGTGTGCATGGTTGAATGAAGTTTGCTTAACTTTTTATTAAAGAATCAAAAGAATCAACTCGGTCGTAACGAATCAGCGCCCAAAGTCGCAAAACATATTGCATATTACAGTAATGTGTGACTATACCAGTTTTTGCTATAACAAGCTATATCCAGTATGGATACACGTTGGCTGTACCAGTGTTGAACATATTAGTTTTGCTTTGTTTTTGTCAAAACATCTGTGTTTGATGCACAGAGAGTATTGACCGTCATAGAATCTCCACATTTTGTCTTATAACCATATAATAAAGTGATTTTGGGAGTCAGAGAGCCAAAAAATAAGAACGCTACATTTCCGCGAAGTCGGGAAGGAGAGAGCAAAGGTTAAACAATAGTACCACTTGTGGCCCTTGTGTTATTAATTTGCCAACTAGCGTGACGGATTCAAAGTTACTTGCTATTGCTGTTCTATCTAAATAAATAACAGGTCCTAACAGTTACGGACATCACTTCATAGGTTTTCCCGTCTGAAG